GTGCCCAAACTCCCTGCAGAGCCCACACCCTGAACCCCCTCCTGTGCCCAAACTCCCTGCCGGAGCCCAAACCCTGAACCCCCTCCTGCACCCAAACTCCCTGCCGGAGCCCACACCCTGAACCCCCTCCTGCCCCCAAACTCCCTGCCGGAGCCCACACCCTGAACCCCCTCCTGCCCCCAAACTCCCTCCCGGAGCCCAAACCCTGAACCCCCTCCTGCGCCCAAACTCCCTGCCGGAGCCCACACCCTGAACCCCCTCCTGCGCCCAAACTCCCTCCCGGAGCCCAAACCCTGAACCCCCTCCTGCGCCCAAACTCCCTCCCGTAGCCCAAATCCTGAACCCCCTCCCTGCGCCCAAACTCCCTCCCGGAGCCCAAACCCTGAACCCCCTCCTGCGCCCAAACTCCCTCCCGGCCCAAACCCTGAACCCCCTCCTGCGCCCAAACTCCCTCCCGGAGCCCAAACCCTGAACCCCCTCCTGCGCCCAAACTCCCTCCCGGAGCCCACACCCTGAACCCCCTCCTGCGCCCAAACTCCCTCCGGAGCCCACACCCTGAACCCCCTCCTGTGCCCAAACTCCCTCCCGGAGCCCAAACCCTGAACCCCCTCCTGCGCCCAAACTCCCTGCGGAGCCCAAACCCTGAACCCCCTCCTGCATCCAAACTCCCTCCCGGAGCCCAAACCCTGAACCCCCTCCTGCGCCCAAACTCCCTCCCGGAGCCCACACCCTGAACCCCCTCCTGCGCCCAAACTCCCTGCAGAGCCCACACCCTGAACCCCCTCCTGCGCCCAAACTCCCTCCCGGAGCCCAAACCCTGAACCCCCTCCTGCACCCAAACTCCCTCCCGGAGCCCACAACATGAACCCCCTCCTGCGCCCAAACTCCCTGCGGAGCCCAAACCCTGAACCCCCTCCTGCGCCCAAACTCCCTCCCGGAGCCCACACCCTGAACCCCCTCCTGTGCCCAAACTCCCTGCAGAGCCCACACCCTGAACCCCCTCCTGCGCCCAAACTCCCTCCCGGAGCCCAAACCCTGAACCCCCTCCTGCGCCCAAACTCCCTCCCGGAGCCCAAACCCTGAACCCCCTCCTGCGCCCAAACTCCCTGCCGGAGCCCACACCCTGAACCCCCTCCTGCGCCCAAACTCCCTGCGGAGCCCAAACCCTGAACCCCCTCCTGCGCCCAAACTCCCTGCCGTAGCCCAAATCCTGAACCCCCTCCTGCGCCCAAACTCCCTCCCGGAGCCCAAACCCTGAACCCCCTCCTGCGCCCAAACTCCCTCCCGGCCCAAACCCTGAACCCCCTCCTGCGCCCAAACTCCCTGCGGAGCCCAAACCCTGAACCCCCTCCTGCGCCCAAACTCCCTGCCGTAGCCCAAATCCTGAACCCCCTCCCTGCGCCCAAACTCCCTCCCGGAGCCCAAACCCTGAACCCCCTCCTGCGCCCAAACTCCCTCCCGGCCCAAACCCTGAACCCCCTCCCTGCGCCCAAACTCCCTGCAGAGCCCACACCCTGAACCCCCTCCTGCGCCCAAACTCCCTCCCGGAGCCCAAACCCTGAACCCCCTCCTGCGCCCAAACTCCCTCCCGGAGCCCAAACCCTGAACCCCCTCCTGCGCCCAAACTCCCTGCGGAGCCCAAACCCTGAACCCCCTCCTGCATCCAAACTCCCTCCCGGAGCCCAAACCCTGAACCCCCTCCTGCGCCCAAACTCCCTCCCGGAGCCCACACCCTGAACCCCCCTCCTGTGCCCAAACTCCCTGCAGAGCCCACACCCTGAACCCCCTCCTGTGCCCAAACTCCCTGCCGGAGCCCAAACCCTGAACCCCCTCCTGCGCCCAAACTCCCTGCCGGAGCCCACACCCTGAACCCCCTCCTGCCCCCAAACTCCCTGCCGGAGCCCACACCCTGAACCCCCTCCTGCCCCCAAACTCCCTCCCGGAGCCCAAACCCTGAACCCCCTCCTGCGCCCAAACTCCCTGCCGGAGCCCACACCCTGAACCCCCTCCTGCGCCCAAACTCCCTGCGGAGCCCAAACCCTGAACCCCCTCCTGCGCCCAAACTCCCTGCCGTAGCCCAAATCCTGAACCCCCTCCTGCGCCCAAACTCCCTCCCGGAGCCCAAACCCTGAACCCCCTCCTGCGCCCAAACTCCCTCCCGGCCCAAACCCTGAACCCCCTCCTGCGCCCAAACTCCCTGCAGAGCCCACACCCTGAACCCCCTCCTGCGCCCAAACTCCCTCCCGGAGCCCAAACCCTGAACCCCCTCCTGCGCCCAAACTCCCTCCCGGAGCCGAAACCCTGAACCCCCTCCTGCGCCCAAACTCCCTCCCGGAGCCCAAACCCTGAACCCCCTCCTGCGCCCAAACTCCCTGCCGGAGCCCACACCCTGAACCCCCTCCTGTGCCCAAACTCCCTGCCGGAGCCCACACCCTGAACCCCCTCCTGCGCCCAAACTCCCTGCCGGAGCCCAAATCCTGAACCCCCTCCTGTGCCCAAACTCCCTCCCGGAGCCCAAACCCTGAACCCCCTCCTGCGCCCAAACTCCCTCCCGGAGCCCACACCCTGAACCCCCTCCTGCGCCCAAACTCCCTGCGGAGCCCACACCCTGAACCCCCTCCTGTGCCCAAACTCCCTCCCGGAGCCCAAACCCTGAACCCCCTCCTGCGCCCAAACTCCCTGCGGAGCCCAAACCCTGAACCCCCTCCTGCATCCAAACTCCCTCCCGGAGCCCAAACCCTGAACCCCCCTCCTGCGCCCAAACTCCCTCCCGGAGCCCACACCCTGAACCCCCTCCTGTGCCCAAACTCCCTGCAGAGCCCACACCCTGAACCCCCTCCCTGCGCCCAAACTCCCTCCCGGAGCCCAAACCCTGAACCCCCTCCTGCACCCAAACTCCCTCCCGGAGCCCACAACATGAACCCCCTCCCTGCGCCCAAACTCCCTGCGGAGCCCAAACCCTGAACCCCCTCCTGCGCCCAAACTCCCTCCCGGAGCCCACACCCTGAACCCCCTCCTGTGCCCAAACTCCCTGCAGAGCCCACACCCTGAACCCCCTCCTGCGCCCAAACTCCCTCCCGGAGCCCAAACCCTGAACCCCCTCCTGTGCCCAAACTCCCTCCCGGAGCCCAAACCCTGAACCCCCTCCTGCGCCCAAACTCCCTGCCGGAGCCCACACCCTGAACCCCCTCCTGCGCCCAAACTCCCTGCGGAGCCCAAACCCTGAACCCCCTCCTGCGCCCAAACTCCCTGCCGTAGCCCAAATCCTGAACCCCCTCCTGCGCCCAAACTCCCTCCCGGAGCCCAAACCCTGAACCCCCTCCCTGCGCCCAAACTCCCTCCCGGCCCAAACCCTGAACCCCCTCCTGCGCCCAAACTCCCTGCAGAGCCCACACCCTGAACCCCCTCCTGCGCCCAAACTCCCTCCCGGAGCCCAAACCCTGAACCCCCTCCTGCGTCCAAACTCCCTCCCGGAGCCGAAACCCTGAACCCCCTCCTGCGCCCAAACTCCCTGCCGGAGCCCACACCCTGAACCCCCTCCCTGCGCCCAAACTCCCTGCCGGAGCCCAAACCCTGAACCCCCTCCTGCACCCAAACTCCCTGCGGAGCCCAAACCCTGAACCCCCTCCTGCGCCCAAACTCCCTTTCGGAGCCCAAACCCTGAACCCCCTCCTGCATCCAAACTCCCTCCCGGAGCCCAAACCCTGAACCCCCTCCTGCGCCCAAACTCCTCCCCGGAGCCCACACCCTGAACCCCCTCCTGCGCCCAAACTCCCTCCCGGAACCCACACCCTGAACCCCCTCCTGCGCCCAAACTCCCTGCGGAGCCCAAACCCTGAACCCCCTCCTGCGCCCAAACTCCCTCCCGGAGCCCAAACCCTGAACCCCCTCCCTGCGCCCAAACTCCCTCCCCGGAACCCACACCCTGAACCCCCTCCTGCGCCCAAACTCCCTCCCGGAACCCACACCCTGAACCCCCTCCTGCGCCCAAACTCCCTGCCGTAGCCCAAATCCTGAACCCCCTCCTGCGCCCAAACTCCCTCCCGGAACCCACACCCTGAACCCCCTCCTGCGCCCAAACTCCCTGCCGGAGCCCACACCCTGAACCCCCTCCTGCGCCCAAACTCCCTCCCGGAGCCCAAACCCTGAACCCCCTCCTGCATCCAAACTCCCTCCCGGAGCCCACACCCTGAACCCCCTCCTGCGCCCAAACTCCCTGCGGAGCCCAAACCCTGAACCCCCTCCTGCGCCCAAACTCCCTGCCGGAGCCCACACCCTGAACCCCCTCCTGCGCCCAAACTCCCTCCCGGAGCCCAAACCCTGAACCCCCTCCTGCGCCCAAACTCCCTCCCGGAGCCCAAACCCTGAACCCCCTCCTGCGCCCAAACTCCCTGCCGTAGCCCAAATCCTGAACCCCCTCCTGCGCCCAAACTCCCTGCCGGAGCCCTGGGCCCCTCCCGGACCCCAACCCACTGCCCCAGGCTCCGCCCCGAGCCTCCTCCCAAGCCCTCGGCCCCACCCCCAAGCCCAGAGCCTGCCCCCGCCCGGAGAAAGTGTGGGTGAGGGAGAGGCAGCGAGGGCGGGAGGGGGACTGGCGGGAGCGGGGCGGGAGGGGGGCAGGGCCGGCGCAGGGGTCCCCAGCGCGGTGCCCGCGGGCGGCATTGCGGCGGCGACGCTCCTGTCCGTGGTAGCGTGTGGGGGGCGGGGCGTCTGGCGCGCGCCAGTCTTCCGGGGGTAGGAATCTGCTATGCCCAGGGCAGGGTCGGGGACCCCTGGGCCCGGGGAAGGGGCGCGGCCTGGGAAAGAGGCGTGGTCCGGGGAAGGGGCGTGGCCTGGGAAAGAGGCGTGGTCCGGGGAAGGGGCGTGGCGTGGGGAAAGGGGCGTGGCATGGGGAAAGGGGGCGCGGCTCGGAGAAAGGGGCGTGGCCCGGGGAAAGGGGCGTGGCCCGGGGAAAGGGGCGGGGTCGGGCAGGGCGAAGGTCTTTGGTTGGTCGGGTGACGCTTGGGACGAGCGGTGCTGCAGCGCCCTCTGCCGGGACGCGCTTCCCCATCGGGATCCCGGCCCCCCCCCGCACTGCACAGCGGGGCAGCGCCTGTCCCCGGCCACGCGCACACCTCGGGCGCGTTCCCGCAGGCCCTGCCCCGCCCTGCTCGCCCCGCAGCCACCGCGCCCCTGGGGACCGCGGCCGGGGCTGCCCTGCGGCTCACACGGCGCCTGCGCAGCAGCCGCCAACGGCCCCGCCCAGCCCGCCCGCGCGCGGCGGAACCGCCCCGGGGGCGTGTCCCGGCGGGAGCGTGGCGGGAGGGGCGTGTCCTGGGGCGGGGCGAGCGCGCTGGGCGGAAGCGGCGCCTGGATTCAAAGTGGCGGTTGGCGGAAGCTGCTTCCGGGCGCGCGGAGCCTTCGCGGGGGTCTCTGAGTTGCCATGGTGACGGGTGCGCCTGGCTGCGGGGCAGCGCTGGGGGCCGGGGCGGGGTTATGGGCGCGGGGACAGGAGGGGCTGGGTTTGTTTTTGGGGGGAATGGGGGGTGTGTGGCAGGGGGCGCTGGGTAGGGTTGGTTTAGGGGGGTGGGGGTAGGGTGACAGGTGGGGGTGGGCAGTGCTGGGTTTGTTTTTGGGGGGAATGGGGGTGTGTGGCAGGGGGCGCTGGATCGGGTTGGTTTAGGGGGGTGGGGTAGGGTGACAGGTGGGGGTGGGCAGTGCTGGGTTTGTTTTGTGGGGGGGAATGGGGGTGTCTGGCAGGGGGCGCTGGGTAGGGTTAGGGGTGTGGGGTAGGGTGACGGGTGGGGGCAGGCAGTGCTGGGTTTGTTTTTGGGGGGGAATGGGGGTGTGTGGCAGGGGGTGCTGGATCGGGTTGGTTTAGGGGGGGTGGGGTAGGGTGACAGGTGGGGGTGGGCAGTGCTGGGTTTGTTTTGTGGGGGGGAATGGGGGTGTGTGGTGGGGGCGCTGGGTGGGGTAGGGTGACGGGTGGGGGCAGGCAGCGCTGGGTTTGTTTTGTGGGGGGGAATGGGGGTGTCTGGCAGGGGGCGCTGGGTAGGGTTAGGGGGTGGGGTAGGGTGACGGGTGGGGGCAGGCGGGGCTGGGTTTGTTTTGTGGGGGGGAATGGGGGTGTGTGGCAGGGGGCGCTGGGTCGGGTTGGTTTAGGGGGATGGGGTAGGGTGACGGGTGGGGGCAGGCAGTGCTGGGTTTGTTTTTGGGGGGGAATGGGGGTGTGTGGCAGGGGGCGCTGGATCGGGTTGGTTTAGGGGGGTGGGGTAGGGTGACAGGTGGGGGTGGGCAGTGCTGGGTTTGTTTTGTGGGGGGGAATGGGGGTGTGTGGTGGGGGCGCTGGGTGGGGTAGGGTGATGGGTGCGGGCAGGCAGTGCTGGGTTTGTTTTGTGGGGGGGAATGGGGGTGTCTGGCAGGGGGCGCTGGGTAGGGTTAGGGGGTGGGGTAGGGTGACGGGTGGGGGCAGGCAGTGCTGGGTTTGTTTTGTGGGGGGGGATGGGGGGTGTGTGGCAGGGGCCGCTGGGTAGGGTTGGTTTAGGGCAATGGGGTAGGGTGATTGGTGGGGACAGGTTTGTGCTGCATTGGTTATGTTGCTGTGGGATGGGAGTGTCTGGGGTAGGGTGGGAGTGGGGGCAATGGGCTAGTTTGGGGCTGGCATAGGGATGTCTGTGGCAGGCAGCAGGCCCACTTCTGTGGACATGGGATGGGGTTGGGGACACTGGACTGCTTTTGAGTAGATCTCTCTCGAGCTGCTGTTTTCATTGTCTTTGAACAGGGCTGTGGATGAGGGGCTGGCTTCCGCTGTGACTGGGATGCTGTCACCTGCGAAGCAGCAGCCCTGTGCCCGGAGCATGGCAGTGGGACAGCCTGTCGGGGACAAAGCGAGGTGTCTGTGGGCGGCAGTGAACCAGGCGGTACTGGCTGAGAGGAACCAGAGTGTGGCCCCTGTGGGGGTTTGGGTGGAGAGCGCCCAAACTGGTGGCAGATGGGAGGAGAGCATTGCTTTCGTGAGTGCCGTGTCTGAATGCTTTCTTGTTATGCTGTTTGCTTTCTGCAGGTTGTTCCCTTGTCAGCTCTGATAAGCCAGGAGTAGATCCTCTCCGAGTGGGAATCTCAGCTGGGGTTCAGATTGTAATTTCTAAATGTTCTTCCTTGATTTTTTTGCTCCTTATTTCTCTACTCTTCCCTAGAAGTCTGATAGTCATGGGCATGGTATTCTGCGATTCCACAGCTCCAAAGTCCTCCCTTGCTGCAGAATCTATTTTATTGAATTCTGTTTCTAGTACTCATAGTTGTGAAGATAGAAAAGGTGACCTGAATGTAAACCAATGCAGCGTTGTTTTCCTGAGTTTGCAGATCGTATGAAATGATACCTGTGAGAGACCTGAACTGCTCCCTTCATCTTAAGGGGTTGTTAATGCAGAAACCCTTAAGATGACAATCTATAGTACTCTGGAAAATGTGCAGACAAGTTCATTTTTTTTGTAACTAACCACAAAATAAATCCCACAGTGGCAAGTCTTAGTTCTGCTATTGTGGTTTTATGTGCTGTGACTTATGTATTTTCGTACTATATATATGGAGCTTCATGGAGAAAGGTAAATCTAAAAGAAAATGCCAGGTTCTTTTCCTGAGTTTTCTTGCAATTTATCTAATTTGGGTTTGTAGTGTTGAATGCCTGCTCTTGGTGTGGTGCTAATGTTGAATTTAGGGTATTTATTAAGTCATATTTGAAACTAATGTTGTTTGACGAATGGCCCTCGTGTGCAAGTGAGACTCGAAATTGCTGATTTATGTGAGTGTTTGTTTTGTATCCGATCGTGAAAGTACTGAGAAGAGCAGGTCTTGCTTTATTTTGGCCCCATAAGTTAGTTCCCTGACATGTTATAACAGATCTGGGATGGGTACATGAAAAGGTTGTTGAAAGACAGATGTGGGACTTGCACTGGGGCTTAATGGAGACCACAAAGGATGTCAACCCTGAGTTTTCTGATTCAGGTTTTGTGGTTCTGTCAGTCTTTCTGAAAGCAGCTTCATGTCTGATTGCCCCACGAGTGGCTTTATTAAATATGCCCCTTTTCTTTCCTTTTTTATATTATGCATTTTAAAGGGGGAAAGAAAAGATTTCCACTTTGTAATATGATCTTCCCAACCCATCTGTGCAGCTGTTACTAGATTCACAGAACAATCTGTGTTACACTTTCACAATTTTAACTAATTGTGTTTATCTTTAAACCAGAACATTTACACACATCCCTTTCCCTAGAGATACTGCTTGCCTGTAGGTTTATATACAGGTCCCAGAGAGTGAGAGAAGCTGAAATCCAGGCTGTAGTGAAGCTGCATGGCGAAAAAGCTAACTTGAACATCTCCTTTAACCTGTTACAGGCTTCAGCGTTTCAGGTTGAAGAGGACCTAAAGGAGCAGCAAAAGGAAAAAGAGGAAAATCTGAAACGCTTCCAGGGGGAAGTGAAGCAGAGGGTGAATCAGCAAATCAAGATGAGGAGAAAGCAGCAGCTCCAGAAATCCTGTGAAGCGGTAGGGAAAACCTGTATCATCACCAGCCTCTATCTGCTCTGATTCACACCAGGAGCCTTGCTTAGGTGGTGACACTGCTTCAAAAGCAAGCATTCCTGTGTAAATACAACCACTATTCATACAATCTTAAGGCTTGACTCTTAATTGGAGAAAAGTCAGGAAACTTGCAATTATTTCCACAGCTGCTTTGACTCTAGGCATCCTGCATAGACTTAATGTCCAGAGATCTATGTCCTAGGGAAGACCAGCAGGGAATTCTCTCCTCCTCTTCCTCTCCTTCCCCCCGGCCTCTTCCCGCACCCACTCACAACTGAAAACCATTGCTGAGGTGTCTATTACAGATACGACCCTTGCAGGATTCCTACTGTTAAGTCTTGTACACTAGTGTGTGACTAGCTGGGAGCTTCCCTAGTTCCGTATTTTGGACCTTTTAGGTATTGGTAGTTGAGCATGAGCCTCCTCAAGTGCATGTTCCAACCTGCAGTATCTCTAGAACCTTACTAGCTAGTGCCTTCTGACTGCAATCTGCTTGAGCTACATGTCGCTGGACTGGGCTAGCTCCTTGCTCTCTTCCCCATTCCCCTGCCTTGTCAGGAGAGGAGGAGGGGAAGAAGAAGAAAGAGTATTGCCTCTGAAGATCCATACTTTCTGCCCTGCTTGTATCTTTGAACTCTGGCAGGAGAGGATGAACAAGGAAGGGAGGTTAGCACAGAAATTCCCTTTATTAAACTTGATCCACATGTTCAGTTCTATGAGGGGTCACCTTTGTGATCTGAGGGGGCACTAACCTTCAGGTGCACGCAACTCCTGAGTGCGGAGCAGCAACCTCAAAAATCCATCTGCTACTGCTACCTTTCTGTCATCACATGAATGAAAATTCCACAGGTAGCACCTGGTGCAGCAAACGATCAACACGTGTGGATTTACTCAATGAGTGACTTCAGTAAGATGGTTGTTCAGGACTTGTGTGGTTTTTTCTCCTCCCTTTCTCCCCCCCCCCCATCACTGCAGGCAGAAAAAGAAAGCTCTGTTGTGATGCAGTGTTCGGATTCTGCACTGCACTTGACCCCCAAGAGGAATACATGTGTGTATCGAAGTAATGCAGCATCTGCCATTTGCAGTTCTGGTGCCAACTTGATCCCTGTGCAACAGCTTTGTGTGAGTTGGGAGGAAGAGGGAAGAGAGAAGCAAAGCCAGTTATTCCATCAACAAGCCAACACAGTGAGTGTTTACTGACCGCCAACAGCGTCACAACCTCCATTTGTTGTGTGCCCAGAATGAAAACATATTTTCAGTAACACATAACATTAAAATTTCCCCAACTGCGATACAGAATCACTCTGTTTTAGAAATGAGCTAGAACACCTACATATTGTGAATGTAAACTCTTTGTAGAGTACTCTGACACTTAGAATTACAAGGGAAGCATGTGTGAGTTGTATTGTTATAACTGGGTTATTACAATATAACATTACAATGTTTTACTTCTCTTACCCTACTTTTACCTTTTGTACATCTCATTCATGACACTTACCTCTTCCTAAGGTGGAAGATGATGGTATGTTTTGTGTTTTTACTCCAGTCTCTTCTTTTATCCACTGGATGTCATTGTGTGTTTACATTCAGTGCTTTGTGGTGGCAAAGTACAGAGCTATTATATAGGGGACTTTTTTTGGATTATTGATTCTGCTGAGGTTCCATTTAGCCATAATCTCAGTATTAAAACTAACAACAAGTATCCCTATTGAGAATGCTGTACTTAAATTTGGTCCATCATCAGTTAAAGGCAATGCTTGCATTTCCGCTAGTGAAAAATCTTCAAAGAAGTGAAGTAAAACCTCCATAAAATAAAGGTTCTTCCCTATTGGTGTGTGTCACTGGGTAGAAGGCACTAGGTGGAGTCATCTCCCCACTGACATTCTGCATATCGAGTAACAAAGGTGTGAGATAACTACAGCCTTGTGGAATGTGTGAGGAGGGGGGCTAGCTGCCTTTTCAAAGTTCATAACCATGCTTATGATTTATCTTTGCAGTTTAAAAAATTGCTCACTATCATTCCACGTGGCTGTGCTTGAGCTTAACAGTTCAGTTCCCAATGCAAATTCAGTGAAGTTTAGAGGTATCTGGTGCTTTGGCTCAGTACCCTCTCTAATAATGATGGTATCTTTCTGTATCATAAGCCTTTAGACCTGCTTATATTAAAACAACAAGAATAAAAAAGAAACCACCACCACCCTGGGTTAAGGTTACTGAGTGTCTGTGTCTGTCTGTCAGTATATACATGAGCACATAGGACATTCAGATCTGGATCAAGGTGGACATCCAGCTTCTGGTACTGGTTTCTAACAGATATTTTAGAGGGGGGCGGTAAATCCCTCCTCCCTCTCGTGCACAGGTTACTGGTGGTAAGAGAATTGGGGCTAAATGGAGTGAAGCACAGGTTTTTCTCTGATCTAGTCACACAGCACCTGTAATTGGGTAGCAGGAATGAGATCTAGAACTTCTCATGTCTAGGCCCAAAGCCCAAATCTAAAACAGTCGGAGAGAACCAAAGTCAGGCGGTGATAGCTTTGAGGCACATGAAACAAACTGTTGGTGATCATATATTAATGGGGCACATCCCTGGCCATCATAACAGATTGGTCAAGGAGTGAATTGGCCATAAACGAAATCCTTTCTCTTACCAAGAGCTGTCCCATGGATTAGAGTTGAGGTATGCCTTCAAGGCACTGCAGCTGCCTGTCACGTACCTGTCAGTGGATTACTCCCAACAGTCAAGCTACTGATGCTGGATTATACCCTCAGGCAAAGTGCCAAGATGATGTTGGCCACTTTGAGTGACGACTACTTTCAGATGTGGTGTCTTCTACCTTGTAATGAACCTTTTGGCTTTCTCGTTTGTAGCAGCAAGGTATCGCTAAACTGTGAACCTGTAAGCACTTTGTTGATGTGTCTTTCTTACTGGCAGCTTAGTAAAACCGTGAAACAGGTCCGTCGCCGGCTAGCATCCTGCAAAACAGTGCCCAAAGGAGCAGGCCTGCCCGAACTTCCAGGAGGCGTCTGGGGTGTCAGCCCAACCAGAAACGTAAGTGGGGGGCTGACTCAGCTCAGCCACTAGTTGTGATCATAAATTATTTGCTGCATTGTGTGAAGATCCTGAGCCCTGTCCAATCAGCCAACCACACAGTGCAGTGGATCTTTTCAATAAAGAGTAAAATAAAATGGGTTCTTGTTGTCACTTAATTATTTTCCCATATGTGTAAATTAACTGGGGATGAGAGATCCAAGGACATACCTTTACTGTACAGAGTAGTGTGCCTTGACTGTCCTGTTACTTTTTCTTTCCCCTCCTATTACTATTTATTCAGGTAAAGCAAGCTCCACTGAAAACCACATGAAAAGAAACTTACTGAAACCACCATTAAAGTACAGTCCTGCTCTGAATAGTGACAGTAAAGATGTCTCCTTCTTGCCCATCAGCCCTGAATACAGAGAACAGATATTTCAATGCTTTTCACTTCTGTATGAGCAACCTCCTTTTGCCGTGCAGAGCCAACAGTTGAGAGAGACTTCAGGTCACTTTCTTCTTTATCCACTTCCAGGGCTAGCGTTTCAAACAGCATCACATAGCTGTCATGAGAGAGAGAGAGGTGTTTTGTTTTTAAATCAGCCTTCCAGATCAACATTTCCTTCTATACCCCTCCTTTTTAAAATGTGGAGTTTGCTTCCCAAAATGGCACTAGCCCAAGGCTCAGGACTGGCCACATTCAGTCCTGCCCAAATGATGAGTAAAAGGCCTGATATTATCATAGAATCATAAAATCTCAGGGTTGGAAGGGACCTCAGGAGGTCATCTAGTCCAACCCCCTGCTCAAAGCAGAACCAATCCCCAACTAAATCATCCCAGCCAGAGCTTTGTCAAGCCTGACCTTGAAAACCTTAAAGGAAGGAGATTCCACCACCTCCCTAGGTAACGCATTCCAGTGTTTCACCACCCTCCTAGTGAAAAAGTTTTTCCTAATATCCAACCTAAACCTCCCCCACTGCAACTTGAGACCATTACTCCTTGTTCTGTCGTCTGCTACCACTCAGAACAGTCTAGATCCATCCTCTTTGGAACCCCCTTTCAGGTAGCTGAAAGCAGCTATCAAATCCCCCCTCATTCTTCTCTTCCGCAGACTAAACAATCCCAGTTCCCTCAGCCTCTCCTCATAAGTCATATGTTCCAGTCCCCTAATCATTTCTGTTGCCCTCCGCTGGACTCTTTCCAATTTTTCCACATCGTTCTTGTAGCATGGGGCCCAAACCTGGATACAGTACTCCAGATGAGGCCTCACCAATGTTGAGTAGAGGGGAACGATCACGTCTCTCGATCTGCTGGCAGTACCCCATGTATACATCCCAAAATGCCATTGACGTTCTTGGCAACAAGCGCACACTGTTGACTCATATCCAGCTTCTCATCCACTGTCACCCCTAGGTCCTTTTCCGCAGAACTGCTGCCAAGCCATTCGATCCCTAGTCCGTAGCGGTGCATGGGATTCTTCCCATGTGATGTTATGTGACCTAGCAAGACCCCCCCCCCTTCTCCCGACCCCCCAAACCCAGTGCTTTATACCATTAGAAAATTGCAAGGGGGTTGTCAGTTCCTAGCTTCCCAAAAGGACCCAACTTGTTTTAGAAGGCTTCTAAAATGAACACTTTCATGTAGAGCAGGGGTTCTCAAACTTCATTGCACCCCGGCCCCCTTCTGACAACAAAAATTACTACACAACCCCAGGAGAGGGGACAGAGTTTGCCTGAGCCCTACTGTCCCCAGGCAGGGAGCCTGTTACTTGATCCCCCACCATCTTTTGGCTTGGGCCCTGGGCAGTAGGGCTTTGGCCTCGGGTCCCAGCAAGTCTAAGCCAACCCTGGTGACCCCATTAAAATGTGCTCACGACCCACTTTGGTGTCCCGACCCACAGTTTGAGAACCGCTGAGAAATGCTTCTGGGTCATTGAGGGAGTTCTCTTGACATGTGCACTACTGGGCTTGTGGTGCTCAAGGAGTTTGGCTTTATCGTGGAAGAGCTACAAAAATAGCTTAACTACTGCCTTATCTTGCTCAAGCTGTTTAGGAATGTGTTTCTCTGAAAGCCATGGTGCATGACAGGGTGAAGCAGTACAAATGGTTTTTTTGGCACTTTTTTGGGATGCTAGTGGCCTCAATGCTCATAAGTAATGCAGTCATTACTTAGGCCAACAAAACCCTTTGTCTCATCTCTTGCCATTGTGCGTTCTTTATTGGTCTGGCCTATTGCAAGGTTTCAAGAATGTCTTGTTTTGTTTTGTTTTTTTTGTCAAGCCATAGAAAGAGCAAAGTAGAACAAATCCTGAGTCCATGATACCCTGGGTCTGCGTTTTATCTTCCTTCGTTTTCAGAGATGCCCTTTAAGATCTACCGCATCTTCAGATATCCAGAGTCTGAAGCAATAGCCGGCCTGCTTCTATGTGAACACCGCCCCTCTGTCTTCCGTGGCCTGATTAAATGTATTGAACACTTCCATGTGTGTGTTCAGTAAAAGAATTATCCACAAATTCTTGTTCTAGGTTTTCTTCAGCTTAAACTAGAATCTGTTGTTCTTGGAGTATGTTACTATGGATCTGTTTGTAAGTGTCCATGCTCCTCATGCATGTGAGATTTGTCTTTTGGATAGCCATATCTATCAGGGCTTTGCTTGGGCCCTCTGTCTCCTTGGGCCCTGGTATTAGGGTATCAGTGGTGGGGAAGCCACGACCCTCCAGTTCCCTCTTACCGCTAGAGACAGCTAAATAGAACTCAGTGAGTGTCCAACTCTCTGTCCTTTAACTTCAGCTAAATTCGATATTCTCTTTACTTGTTGAAGGAAACTAAAACAAATGAACTCAGCCCATCTGGGCTAATTCCTGATGGACAGAATTTTGCTCCATTGTATCAACAGGACCATGTCTTTTAGCGTGTCTGCTCACCTGTTTGAGGCCCCATCTAGCCCTTCAAAAAGTCAGGCCATCTCATTGCAAAGACTCTCTTTCTAAGTGGATCACACAATGTATTTCCACTTGTAACAAGATAGCTGGCAAACCTCTCCTTTCAACTCTCAAGGCTCACTCTGTCAGGGCACAGGGATATGCCAGTATCTGAGATCTGCATGGCAACACTGTAGAGCAGGTCACTGACCTTTGTCAGATATTCTGTCCTTGGCCTCGAGGCTAGATCAGGTACCAAGTTTTGGAGAGCAATGCTTCAATTTTTATTTGAAACTCCTCATTCCCACCATCTAATGAGGAAACTGCTTGCCAGACACCTGCTGTGGGATCCACACTCTCATTCTTGAAGAGAGATCCGTTACTTATCCTACAGTAACTGGCTGGTTGAGATGTAATCTGTGTGGATCTGCTCCCCATCCCTGCTTTTCAGAATCCTCCAGAGCCATGGACTTTGAATTGCAAGGACCCAAGGGAAGTTTGTGGCTATCCGACCTTTATGCCCTCAGATGGGAGCATCAGGAGAAAGTGTGTGTGCGCACCACCCTGGCAGACACTGTTATTCATAAAACTTTGATCTCAGGTACACTTACAGTGGGAGCCACACTGACTACAACATCTCAAATATTTATAGTTATTGCAGGGTAAATATCCTCTCTTCTGAGAGGTCTCAAGATTCTGCACACCTTGATGTGACTCCAGAAAACCTGCACATACAGCACCCTATATTTGCCAACAGTTACTTTGCAAATATCACAGGTAGTTCCTGTTTGTACCACAAATATGGATGGTGCAGATGGCTCCTGTTCTAAGTATTGAGAGAATCTGTAGCAACAATTAGCAAGTGCTGTCTTTTTTTTTTTTTAATGTTTGCATCTCTTGCAACTGCAAAATGACATGCACAGAAGACCACTTCCTTTATTCCCACCAGCTGGTCACTTTTGCACTGTTGACAAAATTGTCCACGAGTTAGAATCTACAGTGGCAGTATTCCTTGCTCGTTCCCCTCTACTGAAGTTTGAGCATGTCCCCTTTACAACCTGCCGAGTCTCCACTGACCCAGAGAACAAGTTTCCTCAGGTTGCTCTTTTTCACCCAAAGCTTACAGGGGTCTTATATTCATGAGCTGCTCGTGCATTGAAATAATGTAGTTAAGTTTAAATCTCACATTTGTTTCCCCAGAAACCAGTGTCTCGCAGGCCAACTCCAGTGCATGGAGAAGAGTGTGAGGAGTTTCCTCTGGCAGGACGTCATGACCTTCCCGCTGAACTACAAGACCAGGCAACAGCCAGAAAGCAGGCTGAGCAGGGTGATGACAACTTGTACTACAAACTAGAATTTGGAAAAGTAAGACATCTAAAATCCCAGACCTGATGTGACCAAGGCTGGGTCAGCCAGTCCTGGCATGCCTAATTCTTGTTCTAAGTCAGGGGTGGCCAACCTGTGGCTCCGTAGGCTCTTCAGAAGTTAATATGTGCTTCCTTGTATAGGCACCAACTCCAGGGCTAGAGTGGCCGGCGCCAACTTTCCAGTGTGCTGTGGGGAGCTCACTGCTCAACCCCTGGCTCTGCCACAGGCCCTGCCCCTACTCCACCCCTTCCCATGCCCTCCCCTGAGCCTGCCATGCCCTCGCACTCTCTTCCCCACCCCCACCCCCCCCAGCTCCTCCAAGTGTCCTGCACGCCATGAAACAGCTGATGGGGAGGGAAGGGGAGGCGCTGATTGGCAGGGCTGCTGGTAGGTGGGAGGCAGGGGGGCTGACGTGTTACTGTGGCTGTTTGGCAATGTACATTGGTAAATTCTGGCTGCTTCTCAAGCTCAGGTTGCCCACCCCTCTTCTAAGGCTTCTGGTCTTTAAGACTGCTGTTCCGGCACAGCTACTGTCTGAGCAGTGGTGATGCCCTGCCAGATGACCTCCTAACCTGAACTTTAGGCTTCAGATGAGAGTTCAGACTTCTACTTTGACCTCTCTGCTGAACTTGATAGCAAAGAGTGGCATTTGTAGTGGTGACTTTTTTTTATGTGGGTGTCTATTCACTCAAGTCACTAAACAGCAAGTAGCTGTTTAATTTTTTTTTATCACTGCCATTTTGGGCTGGAGTTGAACCCATGATTACTGGTGAATATTTCATGTGAATCTGGGACAGGTACTTGTGACAGCATATTTAATTACTGGAAATTTTTTTTTCTGTTTTCAAGCAGGCAGCTGTATTTATATAAACATTTGTTTGAATTTGATACTTTATGCAAACATTTCACCCAATGGGTTGCTTATAAATTGTTCGCTCCCATTTTTGAGTATTTACTATTTGTGCCAAGAATGGTTATATTAGACATGTGATGTTCTTATTTTTGATTCATGATTAGATTATAAATATTGAAGCAAGAGGGTTTGAGCAAGTTCTGTCTGCTTCAAATATTTGCCTAAGTATTTGTGAGACTTCCACATCCTGAAAATATTATTGTAAACAAGTATTCACTGGTACACATGTTTGTTAAACTAAAAGAAAAAAAAAGTAGTGAATATAGCTAAGAATATGCACATGTAACTGAACAGTTTGCAAGTAGCTGTTTGCAGTATTTGCACACCTTTCTTGCTATGTCCCTTTACAAGCTACCAAAGTTCTCCAGTCCCCCTAAATTCAGTTTTTGATCCTTAAACAGTGGTTTTACAAGACGAATTGATGCATAAGTGGCCTTGACTTCGCAAATAAATATGCGTCAAGAATGAACTGAAAAGTATTATTTCTGGCAGGACCCAAGTTCAGAGTTCATGTAAGAGTTAACTATCACTCGCACGCAAAGTAAAGCAGAAAGCTGCTTTCCTATAGTAATGCTCTGAGGGAGCAAAAGCAAACTCCAAGACAGACTTATCCATCCGTAATAGGTGAGTGCTCACACAAGTGCTTTGCCCCTTAGTCAGTCAGTGGTTGTGCAAACTTTAGTCACCTTCATTAACATACAAAAATACGCATTCCCAAACCTGATTCTTCAGATGGCATGCTGAAGAATCTCTTCTTCACTAGCATTCTGTGTGCCACTAATTAGACAAGTAGAAAAGGAGTACTTGTGGCACCTTAGAGACTAACCAATTTATTTGAGCATGAGCTTTCGTGAGCTACAGCTCACTTCATCAGATGTTTACCGTGGAAACTGCAGCAGACTTTATATACACACAGAGAATATGAAACAATACCTCCTCCCACCCCACTGTCCTGCTGGTAATAGCTTATCTAAAATGATCAACAGGTGGGCCATTTCCAGCACAAATCCAGGTTTTCTCACCCTCCACCCCCCCACACAACATCTGATGAAGTGAGCTGTAGCTCACGAAAGCTCATGCTCAAATAAATTGGTTAGTCTCTAAGGTGCCACAAGTACTCCTTTTCTTTTTGCGAATACAGACTAACACGGCTGTTCCTCTGAAACCTGTAATTAGACAAGTGAAGCTGAACACATTGTATCTGTGTATAGAAACTTAAGCCAAGGAATTATTCTATTTGTATTGAAAGGGCTCCTGTGGCTAAAGTGTCACACTTACAACTGGCTTTACACACACATGTCTCTGAGCCCTTACAGGGAAAAAGAACGTAAGAGAGAGGGGAGGATGGTAGTGATTTGGCCACTGTAAGAGTGCAATGGCTTTACCTATTAAGATGTCTACAAACCTCTTAAAGTCCTTGATCAAAAAATCCCCATCTTTCAATGTGGAAGCATGACTCTGCAAACTGTGATCTGCTTGAGTAGAAGTTTACAGGATCAGATCTTAAGTATGAATGGGGGGGGAAAAAAGGGAAGTTTGTGCTAGTGATGCTACAGGGTCAAAAGTATGGTTTTGGGGGACCTTACCTGTACATCTCCATGTTTTCAAATGTTTTGAATTTCTCATATTTTTTCACCAGGACATTCAGAATTAAGGTCTTTAATTTGTCAGTTTTGGATAACTGCAATGTTCTTGTAATTTCTGTCCTTATAATAAGTATAGAATCTCAATCTTAATGGCATCTTTAACACATTTCTGTCTGGGAATATCTAATAAAATAAGTCAGACATACCTGTGTTTAAAAAAAATAAAATAAAAATCGTACTGTGCAAAAACATCCACTAATTTTCACATTAATTACATAAGAACATGAGTGGCCATACTGGCTCAGATCTATGGTCCATGTACAGTATTCTGTCTTCTGACAGTTGCTAGTGCCTGTTGCTTCAGAGGGAATGAATACAACAGAGCAATTTGTTGAGTGATCCATCCACTGTTGTCCAGTCCCAGTTTACAGCAGTCAGATGTTTAGGAGCAACCAGAGCATGGGATTGTGTTCCTGACCATCTTGGCTAGCGCCATTGATGGACCTGTCCTCCATAAACTTATTTAATTCTTTTGGAATCCAGTTATGCTTCTCGCCTTCTCAATAATCTCTGGCAATGAGTTCCACAGGTTGAGTGTGTGTGTTTTTTTTTTTTGTTTGTTTGTTTTTTAAAGATATGTTGAGCACAGAGCTCTGTAAGGGTATTGCACAATTTCTGGGCTAAAGTGGGGAAACTTCAATTTCCAAAAATGATTATAGCCATGAATAAAACTTCAGTTTGCTTTCAAGCTGAGGTTTCTGTCCAAAACAAACTTGAATGGCAGTGTTATAAATGCCTGCTTGTAGAAATGCAGATGTTTTATGAACAATAATAGTGGCACCAATGATCTTTCCTATGTGCCATGCATAAAATTATCAGCAACGTTAATGCCCGATATTGTGTGTTTCGTATGAATGGTGTACAGATCTTGTGTACTTAGTCAAAAGACCAGTGTTACTCCTATAAAGTTTCAATAAGCCAGAGTGTCAAAAAACTTCTGTTGAAGTGCTGAGGCCAATCATGTCTTGATCCACTGATTTTTTTTTTTCAGGTTTATAATGGATTAATGAAGGCGTCAGCCCCTGCTGGCCCGTCTTCAGGTTTGAGCATTGATTGCCAAGCTCCCCTTGTACTTTGGCCTGGGATAGACAGAGAAGAAACCAAGAAACAAGTATGTCAAATAGTGTAAAGTCTTATTTTGTTCTCAGCGTCTGCATCTGAATTATACCAAGAGCAGGGCACATTAGGAGACACTGCTATTTACTGTGAAACACCAGAAACTGGCATAATATATCAAAGCTGGTGGCATAGCTGCCAATACTGTATAATACTTATTAACACCCTTAAGGCTGTTGGTAGACTTCATACATGGGATCACTGGGGCAGTTGGAACCATAACTATGTAGTCTCGGTGGGTGAGATAATCCCTCCATGGATCCCAGCACTTAACTTACCATGTACACTGCCACAAAAGACATGCAAAACCACTGAAATGCTGCAGTCCAAGAGGAGCAGAGTGCATGCTCAGCCCATGAGGATTTCTGTTCTCTTGCCATTTGGCTTCTTTCTAGGGTCTTTCTAGTTGCAAGGGAGGATTGATATTTCTCTGTTGTTGGACCTTTACTGAGGTCCAAGTCATTGTTTATGGAACTGGCTCCTGTGCAAGTTTTTCATTCGTTTACACACAGGGCTGGCTTTAACTACAAGCAAAACTTGTTACTTTTCCATTTATGTATGTTGGAATCCAGACAAACTGCAAAGCACGCAGAGTACAGCGTTGCAAACAAAGTACCCACCTGTAGAGGAAAAAGGTTTCTGTGGTCTGCCAAACCCAGTAGCACTGACCTGGATTTCTGCAGCAAAATTCTTACAGAACATCCATTGTAACAAAATAATTCTAATTGTACCACGCAATGAATCTGTGACCACTGTCTTTATGAAGCACCCTCAGTGTGCTTGGTATTGTACAACACACAGGATGAGCCATGGTATCTCTTAATATTTAGTAACTATTAAGTACAGACCACGTGATTGACACTGCATCAGACGCATCATGCTAGTCCATACCTTGCTGAGCTTACAGCCTAAAAGACCTAGGATGATGACAACCCCTGGCAGACCCAAAAGAGAGAATATTTTAGTAGGTGCTTCCCCCAACCCATTCCCTTTCACTGTCCACTTATTTGAATGTAATATTTCCCTCTTTCACTTGTGGGCCTTGCCATATTTTATACCTAAGCTTCAAATGATAAACAATTTGCTTTTATTCTTAAATTATTTTAACTTCTTATCAATTACTTCACAAGCACTGAACCCCCTGGGATCCAAACAGTCTTTCCTTGGTGGCTTCCAAATGGTCTCTCGCCTCTGAATATCAACCCTTCTGACTTGTTCCTCCACCCATTCCTCTCTGCTTACTGCTCTCTCCCACTCAGCCTCCCATTTCCTTTCTCTTTCACACCCTAAAGCTTGATTCCTCCATTGCAAGCCTGCCAGTATCTTGCACATCATTATTTCTAGCTTCATGATCACCCAAAAGTTCAGTCATCTCAACTCTTAGCAGAGGGTCTACATGGGAGGAAAATCCTATATAAACTGTGAAAATAGCAGTGCATCAAATACCTAGAAACCAGTTCTTTTAGGTACATGGAACAGTTCTCCACCAAAGAAGCATTGACTTGCATTTCTATGCCATGTGCAACATTTGATGTATGCTCAGCAGACCTCTGTTCTGAAGCTATTTCTAGACTCTGTATAGGGTTTCTTTCCCATGTGAAAGATGAACTAGTTCAACCTGAAGTTATGGGCTTGATCACTGGGTGAAATTCTATGGCCTGTGTTATGCCAGAGATCAGACTAGATTATCTTAATGGTCCAGTCTGGCCTTAAAACTTATGAATCTGCATGGGATGTGAGCTTAGCTAGAAGCTTTCTCCACTCTTAGTACATCCATGGGTTTTTTCTTCCCTTTGAATTCTATGGATGGGGCTGAAGCCTTTACAGCAAAGACTTCCCTTTATATAGCAACACATACGGGGCTTGTCTCCCCTGTGAAACCACTGATCCTAATAAGGATCCAGCTGTTGCTGGTGTTGATGGCATGGCTTTTTCACATGGCCTGTGGTTGATCGGACAAAGGGCTAATCTTAAAACCGTGTGGTCTCTTATTTTGAATAGAAAATGTGAAAGGGTTGAAGGAAAAAATGTCCCTAGCCCCTCCTCTCTCCTTGGCTGGGTAATGTAAATCTTCCACACACCTGGTTCTGGCTTCTCACTACAGGCCCTCCTTTATGCTAGATGTCCCTTCTTTCAGAGATTTGACAACAGAAGTTGTCTAGGTTGATTTTCGCACTCTGGCACTTCGAGTGCAGAACGTCGGGGCCTGCAAGGACTTTAAAAAATTAATACTTGCCACTCCAGGCTTGTATTAAACTCCCAAGGTTACAGCTTTTCTTTGACCTTGGATTGGTAGATGCTGCCACCACCCAAGTGCAAAACCCCTTTGAGAACTCAAGAAGGCGCACTGGGGAATTTCTTCCTGTGGGGTGTACCCTCAAGCCCTTTCACACACCCCCTCCGGGGAAGAGGTGAGAGAGAAGAAAGGGAAATCCACTGTTGCCACCAGCTAATTAAACATGTGCATAAACCTCTTAGAACACACAAATCCAATCCTATTCTTAAAAAGGTAAATTTTTATTAAAAACAAAAAGAAAATACATCTGGAAACTCGGGCTATTGCTAGATTTAAAAAACAAAAGAAAAAACCCTTCCGAGGATTAAACATCAAGAATAACCTTCTTGAGGTCCAGTTTAAAGGTACAAGCAAAACAAAAGCATTTGGGGTTAGCACAAAGGAGTCTACAAGCCATAAAGAAATAAAAAAAGAGATAAACCTGATCGTGTCTTCCTAGACACTTCCTGATCTACTTACATATCTGGGGGTTTCAAATGAGTAGTTTCTAGATATGATTGATTCAAATGATTTTTCAGACCTGGCCCAAAGCTTCTTACAGCATAGTTGCTGCCCTCATAGAATCTCAGGGTGGGAAGGGACCTCAGGAGGTCATCTAGTCCAACCCCCTGCTCAAAGCAGGACCAATCCCCAATTTTGGCCCCAGATCCCTAAATGGCCCCCTCAAAGATTGAGCTCACAACCCTGGGTTTAGTAGGCCAATGCTCAAACCACTGAGCTATCCCTCCCTCCAATAGAATATCAGGTTTGGAAGGGACCTCAGGAGGTCCTCTAGTTCAACCCCCTGCTCAAAGCAGGACCAATCCCCAATGCCCTGTTCCCTCTCTCCGAGGAACAACCACAGACAGACAAAGGGGAAGTTTTTTCCCAATTTTAAAAAGTTCTAGCCTTCCCATTGTCTCTTTTGGTCAGGTGCCCCCTCCCTTTTACCTATGCAGGGAGACTTTTTAACCCTTTACAGGTAAAGCAAGTAGAGAACAACTACTAAGAGGGATTTTATAGCTGGCTGGCTGGGTGTCCATAAAAGAGAGCTACCCCCCATCCTTTCATTTTCACAGAAGTCTTGGGGATGGAGGAAGAACTATGAGTGCATGTGGTCGGGTAGATGAATGTTGTCTTGGGAGATCCACTGTGGGTCAATCAGGAGCATAGAGGTTCTCAAACTGTGGCCTATGGCTCACTTGCTGGTGGTTGTCAATGAGCTGGCTGGTCACATGGTGCTTCCTCTACCTCACTGCAGCTATAAAATAACACTGAAAGAAGGCAAAACTTAAAGGTGACCGGGAAAAATGGAATTTCCATCCTGTGGGAAAGTCTGACACGTCAAAATTTCCTTTCATTTCCAATCAGGATGAGAAGTCAAAATTTACCATGGAACAAAAATTCTGAAATACTTTATTGAAATGATTTGTTTCTGTGATATCCAAACATTGAAAAACTTTTAAATTTAATATATTTAATTTTTTAAAAAGTTGAAACAAAACAAGAAAATTGGAACAAAGCCCTCCATTTCCATTCAAATAAACTTTTCTGTCAGTTGGCACGTTCCAGTGAAACCTTTTTGATTTCAATGAAACACCATTTTCTGATTGGGGGTGGGGGGAAGGAGACTCTTCTATTGGCCAGCTCCAGTAAAAATACCTTACAACATAAGCAATATGAGATGATATTGCTAATAAGATCTCACACTGCCAAAAAGTTTAAGAACCCCTGCAGTAGAAGATGCTGGTACCAAGATCATAGTTCTGCAAGGTAGCTGGAGAGAAGAGGAGCAAAGTAACAGTAACAGCTTTCTTCCTACCTTTCGTTCAGTTGTGGAACACGTGCAGTGAAACATTTTAATTCTCCCTTGAGGAGAAAGCAGAAACTCGTAGGCAGGGAGCACAAGATTACTGACAAGACATCTGTTTTCTATCATCAGAAGGACCATCTGCAGCAGCTGGAGACAGGTAAACTCTGTGGTGGATTTCACAGGGTCTTCCTTATTGGGTTTTTATGCAGTGTGATATTTGACGAGACTTCTCAGCTCAAAACTTAATCCTTCCTCCTTTAATTCTTACAGTATAACGTGCACAGTGTGAGTTCTTGCAGTGCCACTTCCAGGTCCTGCTGTATATTGCACCAAGACACCTTCCTCTTAAGACTGTGTCGTCTTTCCTGCAGCGTCAAAATCAGTACCTGAGATACAGGCGTCTCTTCATGGATATTGAGAGAGAACAAGTAAAGGAACAGCAAAGGCAGAAAGAGCATCAGAAGAAAATTGCAAAGTAGGTATCTGCTAATAATCATGAATTTCTTTATAGGTTAGGGGTGGCTAATCTGAGCCTAAGAAGGAGCCAGAATTTACCAATGTACATTGCCAAAGAGCCACACCATCAGCCCCCGCCGGTCAGTGTCTCCCCCTCCCTCCCTGCACCTCCCGATCAGCTGTTTTGTGGCATGCAGGAGGCTCTGGGGGTGAGGGGGAGGAGTGAGGGCACGGCAGGCTCAGGGGAAGGGGTGGAGTGGGGGCAGGGCCTGTGGCAGAGCCAGAGGTTGAGCAGTGAGCACCCCCAGCACACTGGAAAGTTGGCGCCTGTAACTCCAGCCCTGGAGTCAGTTCCTATACAAGGAGCCACATATTAACTTCTGAAGATCCACATGTGGCTCCGGAGCCGCAGGTTGGCCACCCCTGTTATAGATGTTGCCCTTGATGTACAGTCAACTGAAAGAAGGTTGTCGTAAATTTTACAGATTTTAAGGCCTGAAGGGACAATTGTGATAATCTAGTCTGACTTTCTTGATTTTTCCAGGCCATAGAATTTCAGAGTAACTTCTGCATCAGGGCCAATAACTTGTGGCTTTACTAGCATGGAAGCTTTTTAAAAGACATCTGATCTTGATTTAAAGACTTCAAGTTTTAGCAAATCCTCTACTTGCCTTGATAAGTTGTTCCAATGGTTATTTACTCTCACTGTGAAAAGTTTGCACTCCTATTTCCAGTTTTAATTTGTCTAGTTTCAATTTCAAGCCACTGGAGCATGTGGTGATTTTTGTCTGCTACGTTTAATGAGCTCTCTACTATGCCAGCCAAACTGTCCCCAGTGCACCTGTCCAGTTCTAGTGTCTGAAATGGGCTTGTGTAGGTGTAACAAACTGATTCCATTGGTGCTGCACAAGTATGTTGAAGGTCAGAATCTGGCCTTCCAATTGGCTCTGGGCTGTCAATTTCATTGAAAGAGAAGAAACAGGATGCAGTTCACTTGACCATAGCTGGGTTGATTCTGCCGAGCTAACTGGAGTGAAGTAGTAACAGTCGTTTGTCTTCAAAGTCAACAAGTCTGGCTCTGGATACCAACAGGGAGCAGACATGTTAAAGAATGTTATTTTTACATTGTCGCTTTTCAGAGTAGAACTGCACCTTTTAAAGAAACATTTCTTTGGTGGTTACATTTCCTTAAATAAAATGTGGCGATGAAAGAGTCTTTAGTACAGAACCAGTTTTGCCCCAGGAATGAACGCCAAGAGGCTGCTGTGTATGTTGAGACCATCAGAAGGATTTTCTTGTTTCAGGTTGATGCAGTCTTATGAGAGTTAACTGAATTTACTAGCTGCCCAGCCTTTCTATATATGGAAGCGAACTGTTCCTATAGTCACTTGATGTAAAGCTAAGATGTCCTTGCTCTGAGATTTATAGCAGGACACTTATGACGTACTTAAGTCTGTATTAGCAAGTCATTGTGAAGACATCTTAGGGCGTTATAACTTGACTAGAGAAGCTTTGGCTTAGGCACTCTCCTCCTTGGTGTGTGGGTTTTTTTTTTTGTGGGGGGGGAGAATAACATGGTAGATATCTCTGTTTAAAGTCCATTTCTGCCTATGGTAATAACTTGTTCCAGGGAATGTCCTTAACATTTTTAGTACACGCTTATATAGTTATTTACACAATAACCCAGATTCCACAGCAAGGTATTAAACACCACCTAGATGTGAAGAGCTTTATTGTAAAACCAAAAAGTAAATATAAAGAATGTTCTGGTCCATTAAAGCACCAAGCACAGCATGGCATACCTCAGCCAGAGTCAGGGCCCTCCTGGGGTGGAGGGCAAAGGTGGCTGTAAAATACCTTTGTGCTCTCTGTCGTCTGGCATACATTAGAGCTGTGTGTCCTGTGGTGCAGCCCAGAATGTCCATCACACTTGAACTAAAGTCTTGACCCTAGCTTTGTCCTCAGCATGTCCCCTAGGATGGTGATTGCATGGATGCAGTCTGCCCCATGTATTCGCTGGAGCAAGTTGCTCCCCAGCCAACTCCCACGCAAAGCTCTAACACTTAGCTCCCATCAACTGAGTTCCAAAGAGGAAGAGAATCCCACCCTCCATTCCCACCTCAGCCCTCTCACTAACATTCATTTCTCTCACTCTTGTTGCCAGTCTTTGCCCCAAACTCCAGACAGCACATACGTTTTTTTGGGTTTTTTTAAAGTCCACTACAATTTAACAAAGATTAATTCCCCAGAGCTGGTCAGCCCAACACTTGCACTGAAGACAAGCAGCTTTGAGCCTTTCTGTATCCCTTCCCCATCAGCCTTTGCATGGAGTCTCTACACCAAATTTCTCCCTAGATTCAGGCTTCCTTTGCTCTTCCTGCTCTGAGAATGCAACGGGGAAAGAAAGGGAAGCCCAGATCACAGCTACAGCCCTCTGCTTTGGCTGATGGAGTCCTGTCCTCCGCCTGGAGTGGTGGGAGTAGTGAAGATCACCCCCAGTGCTTGGGGAGGAAACCCACTTACCAGGGCCCTTTGAAACCTGCAGTGAGCTGACTGGGACCGGGAAGCAGAATTGCTGGTTCCTGCCCTTTGGGCAGCTGCTCCTTTAAGAGAATGAAGCAGCAGTGGCATAGGCATTGCTGCTACTTTCCAAGGTGGAGAAGAGGAGCTGGAGTGCAGAGCGGCCCAGGAGCCTCCTGACAAGGAAAGTAGCCATACTCGCAGGTTGGGGGATTCCTATCCTGAGAAGCAGGGACTCTGACAAAGGCTTGATGGACATGGTGGGTAACTTGAACAGGACATCCGAGTGTGATCCTGTGGCCCTATGGGCTAGTATGACCTCTGGATGCATATACAGGGGAATCTCAAGTAGGTCTAAAGAGGTTATATTACTGCTACATTTGGGACTGGTTCGTCTGCTGCTGGAATACAGTATCCAGTTCTGGTGTCCACAATTGGGGAACAATGTTGATAGATTGAAGAGGTTCAGAGAAGACCCACGAGAAAGATTAAATGAATGGAACAGTTGCTTTGATATGATAACTTGAATTCCTTGAGGTTAACAAAGAAAAGGTTAAGGGGCGACTTGATCAATCTTTATGTACTGATATGGGGAACAAATATTTGGCTCTTAAGTCCAGCAAACAAAGATAACAAAATCCAAAGGGTGGAAGTTAAAGCTAGACAAATCCAGACTGGAAATAAGGCGTACCTTTTTACAGTGAAGATAATTAACCACTGGAACAATTTACCAAGTGTTGTGGTAGAATCTGTCACTGATCATTTTTAAATTGAGGTTAGATGTTTTCAGCTGAAGTTCAAACAGGAATCCTTTCTGGGCAGTTCTCTGGCCTGTGCTGTACACAAGATCAGACTAGATGATCACAGTGGTCCCTTCTGGCCTCACAAACTGACTATTGGAACTGTGTGTAAATCCTCCAAGCCAGAAGCAAGCCTGGGGGTGGAGGGGGCAGAGCTCTCTGGAGAGAATAAATGTGAGACAGAAAACATGGGGGGGTGGGCGTGAACAAAAGACAATGGGGGGGGGGGACAGGAAAAGCTATAAAGGGGTGGAGGAAAGGAGAAGGCACACACAAGGCACAAAACTCTCCAGTGAGGAAACCAGGAGGGAAAATTAGCTTTGACAGATTGCAGGGAACAGTTATGTTATGTTAAAGTTTATCACATAGAAAGCTGATGATGCATTTAAACACAGTGCAGAATTGTTTTACTCTGCAGAAAGCAGCAGAATCCAAATCCTTGCTGTAGATCCAATGCTTCTAAAAGGAGGGTATTGTCAGTATTTTACAGTTGTGGGGGGGAAAGCGGGTATGTGACATACCCTAGGTCCCACAGGCAGCAGAAAACAGAACCCAGTGCTCATGACTTAGTCCTGTCCTCTGACCATGGGACCCTCTTCCTTCTCTCTGAAAGATCCAATTAAACAGCACTTCTATCCACAGAATTAAGAGTGAGAAGGAGCACCAGCGTCGTGCAGAGGAGCAGAGGATCCAGGAGATGGCATACCAGCAAGACACCTGTTCTGGGGAGAAAGCATGTGAACTACTGGCTCAGCTCAGACTGGAGGAGAGAAGAGTGAGGAAAAGTAAGGAAAAGCAACAGAGAAATAAGGAATACGTGAGGTGAGCTGGTGAATGATTGAGGGTTTCCTCCTCTTGTTCTCAAAATCCTGGATTTGCCAGTGGGATTAATGAAGGCAATGGTACCATCCTGTCACAGAGAAACTGTTTTATTTTTGCAGATACATGGAAGCTTTAAGAGCTCAGATGAGGGAGAAGATAAAACTGTATAACATTGACTTGCCTCCATTATGCTGCTGCGGCTCTGATTTCTGGGACTCTCATCCTGACACCTGTGCCAACAACTGCATGTTCTACAAAAACCACAAAGGTATGAGCTCTTGCTTCATAGTAAGGAATCGGTGTAGACCCAGTAACTGAGATCAGATGTCTGAGTCCTGCCATACCGGCAAATGTAAAGCCTGGCTAGGAGTTCCCATAGTTTCATGGCACCATTTCCATGAACGTACTCTAATGTGGGCTCTGCACTTATGTATGTGTGCACACATCCGCCATGCACTCTCGGGAGTATAGACCACTGGGTTCGTATTTCATTTGATAGCCTTAGTGGTCTGTTGAACTAGATTTTTCTTGTAGCACAGATATTTTGTAACTTTTTTATACAGCTGTTAAAGGGAGCTTGCTAAGCACCAGCTGCTGCTCTCACTAATGCAAAGTCAAGGGGGAGTCCAAATCCGGGAACTAGAAAAGCCTGCAGACACTCGACACCCATTTGTAACCCTTGCTTTGGAGAAACTGCAAGTGTCACACCGAGAGCTGGGTTGGCAGCTTTTCAGGGGTGCACCGGTTTCTGTTTGAATTAATAATGAAATTATATTCGAAAGAACTGATGGGGACACATTGTGGGAGGAAAAATACTGCAAAGCAACTATGTAAATGGCACAGAAAATGCCTGGCTCTTGGAAAACCCGCTCTCCACTTTAATGCCAAGGTCTTTATTGGAAGGTGGATGGGAGGGAGATGTTATCAATCACCGGTAAGAAAGCAGTCCTGTGGTTTAAATTATTCTGCAGAACAATTAGAGTATTTGGTTGTACAGACATTTGGAGCAATCTTCATAAACTGCTTTCAAAAATACAAAGTCATCAGATGTAAATGGGAAATGCAACAGTTTGTTTAAAAAAAAAAAAAAAAATACACAGGCCTAAAGTCAGTAATGGCTCATGTGGGCATTAGGCTTACCAGTTAACCAACATTAACCATTAAGCCTGGCAGCCCTGCACTGGCTGGGAGGTACCCCAGCTGCGCTGGCCAGAGCTGCCATGTCAGGCTGATGGGGCCCCAGCACTACCTCCAGTTAACTGGTTATAATTTTAATCGTTTAATCGATTAACTTTTTAACCGATATTTACATCCCTAGCCCAGACATGTACGTATGTTTTAGAATGCCAGCTACTTAAAAATCTCCTTCTCCAGCACTTACCTTCTGGCTCCTAGGTTCAAGGTTCTTTATTTGCCCTGTACCCACTAATACATCTCAGACACCTGCAATGGTGTTGGGAGCATTTCCCTACCCTGTTTCAAGTGCTGCTTGGGGCCTACAGAAAGGGCCCTGAATATCTGAGCTGACTGGTGAGTGAGTGAGGAACTGCTGTTCAAACTCTTTACACTTTAAATGCTTGTGTGCAGAATACATGCAAGGCTCTCTTATGGAGTCGGGATCTTTCATATAGAGTCTCCCATTTGGTGCCCAATCCTGCCCTTGCTCATACTGTGTCTCCAGTTCCCCTAGTGTCAGCTTCCCTTGTGGTAATCTGCTAAACAGCTACACTGCACCCACAGCCATGCAGAAGCTTATCTTGCTCAGTTATGCAGCAACAGGAGCACATGACTGCTAGATACCCGTAGATCCTAGGAATTTTCCCCCTTCAGAGATGAGGCCCTTGGGAAAATCTCTCTCTCTTTTTGTCAAGAGGCACAACTGCATTTTTTGCTTAATTCCCAAGTTAGCAAATGACTCCAGAAGTAAGCCCCAGGGCTCTGTGGGAAAGCTGGCTCAGGCTATAGTCACTTAGCACTCTTTGATTTTTCAGCTTATGCTCGAGCATTGCAATCGGTCATCTCGTCATGTGACATTTCGGATGGGAATTCAACCACACGACTTGCAATCCATAACTTAGCTTCAGTACATGCACCTTCTGTGAAGAATCCATGAAAGGTTGCCTTGGAATCAGCTTTTACAAATGTTCAGCAGACAGTTGGCCTGTGCACAGAGTAGATGATTGTTCCCAGGAGCAGTTTTCTGTCCCAGAGCAGACACTCTCTTCTTCATTCATTAGCCTTTAGAGAGACGACAGGTTTGTTTTGACTAATATTCACATTCAGGGTTAAATTGTACCTCTGACTCCTTTCATCATGCATAATCCATATACACTATGGAAGGTGAGTACTCCAAAAGCCCAGAATTAGCCCTGCTACTACCACTGATCAGTAACGCAGGGATCTAATGTAAAGGGATTACCATGGGATGGTTAAAATACATGAGGGATTTTTGTTTGCTTGAAGCATAAATTCAAATTTCTGTCTATTCAACTGCTGAATAAACCCTTCCAACTTCAAAGCATCTGTGCAGGATTCTTCTGTGGCTGTAGTTGTGCATGCTTTCATGTTGTACAAGTCTCTAAAATGGGGAGTCTGGCTGTGATTGAGTTTCCCTCCCTCCCTGCTCCACCGTCTCAACAATCCACATTCTGTTAGTGTGTCTGCCCAGAAGGCTTTTTTGCAGCTTTTCATTTATAAAACGAACTGTTCCGAAAAGAGATACAAATCTGCAACATCTTCAGCTTTTGCCCCATGAGAAAAAAACTTTAAGGCTTCTCCAACTGAAGTCCAAAGAGAAGGAGGCGGTAAGATGTTTAAAGCAAAACACCCAATTTTCTTGTGTTGTCAATCCCATATTCTCCTTTCTGCAGGGTACAGAGCACTGAGTTTTTTTTCTCTTGTTAGGTCCTGGCAATTAAGAGGTCCCAGGCTGCGTATCCAAGTGTATACTGTGCATTCTCATTCTGCTGTTTGCAAATGGCTCCGTCAAGTATCAGAATATTCGTGTACTCAACCCTGTGTGCTGCATCCTCTCCTTGGATTTAGTCCGTTTAGCCCTCTTCCTGTAGGGATATGTTGCAGGCTGGTAGTGTTTGCTTGAAAGATGCCGGACTTCCAGGGAAGGTTAGGGGGTGTCTGCTGACTCACTGGGGCACTTGCCTTGTTCTCTGGCACTTTAGAGAGGCCGTAGACTTGGTCAGGAGGGAGGAAGCTGGGTGGAGGGCAATTTGAGCGGGGCTGTTCTCTGGTGTGTAAAGAGAATCAGCAACAGGGTGAGTTTGGATTCCACATGCTGTGGACGCTGTATCAGAGTTCCTGTCCTGCATGCTGGCGAGGACTGGTGAAGAGTGTCCAAGCTGCAGTTGGATTTCCCAGGAGGAATTTTGTTTGAGGCAGCCAGAATTCCCTCTGCGGAGTGGTCCCTCTCCCACTAGGGAGAAGCCATCACACACCTCCTCCCCCCTTTCCTTCTGGGTGGTTAGCAGATGCCATAGGAGGGAGCAGGGACTGGTCTCCCCAGGAGAATTTGACCGGCTCCTTTTGAAGAGGCACAAGGGCTGTGTGTCTCTCTGTGCCCTCCTCTGGGTCCCTCCCATACCTCCACAGGGCCACACATTAAATGCTCCATGGGCATTCTGCCACATACCAGGACTCTGCTGTCTATAATTTCCTGCTTTATTCCATTGGCTAGCTAATCACACTCATAAGATATGTCAAGTAAATCTCTCTCTCATGATCTAGTGAAACTTGCATCAGTTTCCAGTTTTGCTTTGAGACTTCGTCCTATTCCCTATTGACAGACTGGCTAATCCCCAATTAGCTCTTCACATGGCTGCCAAGCACTCAGTAGCTTCTCCTGTGTTGTCTAGCTGGAGGGGAGTGGGTGTAGCGAGCAGCTTGTTGTGATGAGCCTGTCTCTTCCACAGTTGGATGTACAGAATCTTAACATGCTTCCACCTGCTTGGAATGTAGGTCGGTATCATTCTCCCTCTTCTACAAATGACTAAACTAAGGCAGAGCTGGGAAAAGAATCCAACTCTCCGTTGTCCTGGGCCTGTATATTAACATAAGAATGGTCATACTGGGTCAGATCAAAGGTCCATCAAGCCCAGTATCCTGTCCTCTGACAGTGGCTAATGGCAGGTGCCCCAAAGGGAATGAACAGACCGGTTATCATCAAATGATCCGTGCCCTGTCGCCCAATCCCATCTTCTGGCAAACAGAGGTTAGGGACACCATTCCTGTCCATCCTGGCTAATAGATCCATCAATGGCTATTTTTCATGAATCTATCTCACTCCCTCTTGAACACCATTATAGTATTGGCCTTCACAACGCCCTCTGGCAAGGAGTTCCAGAGGTTGACAGTGCATTGCATGAAAAAAATACTTTCTTGTTTGTTTTAAACCTGCTACCTATTAATTTCATTTGGTGGCCCCTTGTTCTTGTATTATGAGAAGGAGTAAATAACACTTCCTTATTTACTTTCTCTAGACCCCTCATAATTTTATAGACCTCTATCATATCTCCCCTTAGTCACCTCTTTTCCAAGCTGAAAAGTCCCAGTCTTATTAATCTCTCCTCATACGGAAGCTGTTCTATACCCCTAATCATTTTTGTTGCCCTTTTCTGAACCTTTTCCCATTCCAATCTATCTTTTTTGAGATGGGGCAACCACATCTGCACGTAGTATTCAAGGTGTGGGCTTTCCATGCATTTATATAGAGGCAATATATTTTCTGTCTCATTATCTATCCCTTTCTTGATGATTCCCAACATTGTTAGCTTTTTTGACTGCTGCTGCACATTGAGTGGATGATTTCAGAGAACTATCCACAATGACTACAAGATCTTTCTTGAGTGGTAACAGCTAATTTAGACCCCATCATTGTATATGTATAGTTAAGATTGTTTTCCAGTGTGAATTACTTTGTAATTATCAAGATTAGCCACAAGTCTGTCCTTCCCCATTAGTTCCTGGATTGTTTTGTTCCCTCTCTTGGTCCCAGTCTCTCTCCTGTCTTTTCTTCTTTGCTACACCTGCCTAAGACCATGCTTTTCTCCCTGCTGGCTTTGCAATAGTCTCCTCCCACAGCCCTTCCCTAAATCTCTCTGCTCCTGTCTCCTTCACACTGTGGCTGCCTCCTGCACTTGGAATGTGTTACTGCTCAGGTCCCAGGAGCTGCAGTAGTGAAATGGGAGCAGAGGTAAAGGGGGCAAGCATTGGTTGCCTGCTGAGAAGCCTTGGGAGTTGGTTCTAGTGGCCAGGAGGAGGTGCTGCAGGCAAAACAATATACACTACTTGTAGCCCTGCTTATGAGTGACCGCAGGGATGAATGTGATTATTGCTGCAGCTGAGTGACACTTAGCAGGTTTGTGTTTGGCCGGGCTGCATGAAACTGAAATCAGCTTATCAGGAAAATGAGTGGCTACACAGCACTATGCAAATAAGGCTAAGGTACAGTCTTCTGATGAAACAGGCTCTGTTCCACATGGTTGCTCCCTCCTAGAGTGGAAGAAAACTGAGGTCCCTGGAGTTTTTTCCAAATTTTCCACCCCGAACCTCCCCCACCTGCTACCATCACATGGAAGAGCAGGGGATCTGATCCCTTCATCCCATAGATCCTGAGCAATCTCCTGGATGCCCAGGGTCATTGCTTCAGCTCCTGTTCTTGTCAGAATGGTTCTATTATAGTCAGGGGTTCCTCAGATAGAAGGTATGCAGGGAACCGGTACAGAGGGAGATGGGGAACTTCCCAGTTGCAGAGGGACCTATACTGACAAATTTAATAGTCTCCTACAGCAGACTATCACTGCGTGATGGGAGAGGGACAAGGGATGCTGTGGAGGCAACGATGTCCTAGCTCACCAGCTCAGCTCAGCTAATCCTGATGGTGTAACAAGATCTAGGAAACTGACAGACTTGTAGAGCAACCAAACTTCTTAGGTCCTGTTTGGAATATGAGTCCTAAACACATCTATGGCCCTCGCATACTTCCATATTTACTATATTAGATTCTAGCACATCACTTCAGTATCTAGGTGCTGTAGACAAAATTAAGGATCTGCATCCTGCTTAATAAGGCAAAAGCTCTCCACATATCCTTCAGTTGCCTGCTCCCCTGAGTTATTTATAGCCACCTCTGCCAGCTACCAGAGGAATCTGCCTCTTCTATATGTTGACATGTGCATAGCTTGTCAAGCCAACAGTCCTGTTGAATGGAGTGGACTCTGATGTCAGGGACTGCGTCCTAGGGTGTGTGTTACTCACTTACTGAAGAAGCGCCTGCACAAAGACGTGATCCTGGACTGAGTTCTAATAGTGTAAAGATTGGCTCACCCTGATCTCCAGTAGGAGGTCTGAACGGACCTGTGTATATAAACGGGTGATAGCCTTGCAGGTATCTCTACCTCATCCCCTGAGCTCCAAGTCAACCTCTAGAGCATGTTGCAGTAATGCTGCTCTCACTGAGGGCAAGCCTACACTACAAAATTGTCAATCTAAGTTACACCAATGTACAGCCACCGCAGTAATTAAATGACTCTTGCATGTCCACACTGTGCTCCTAGCGTCAGTGGTGTGTGCCCTCACCAGAGCGCTTGCACCAATTTAAATGTCAGCGTGGGGCATTGTGCGACGGCTTCTGAAAGTCAGCACAAGTCAGCGTAAGCAATGCAGTGTCCAAACCTGACACTACATCAACCTAAGCACTACGCCTCTCGTGGAGGTGGAGTTAAGTCGGTGCAGTGGGAGAGTTACATCAGTGGGACCTACATTTTAGTGTAGGTGCTGACCGACGTCGACATAAGCTGCATTGATCTAACACTGTAGTCTAGACTAGGCCTGAGAGCATGCCTGCACTAGGAAAACAAACTGTTTGAAACAGTGTTTGTGTAGTGAACGTTTCATGCTCTCCTTTGCACTTTGTGCAGGCATGACCACCTCTTTAAATGCTATTTAACATTTTCAGACACTGTTTATTTTTCAGTTCAAACTGGTTTCTGAGGTCTGTGTGAGTGATGCTTACAGCATTACTGTATTTGGCTCCCAGATCTCATGCTCAGTTCAGGATAGGAGTTCTGCAGGCTCTCTCTGACTAGTTCTCATCAGCCTCCTCTGCAGCTCTTCATGCTGGTTCATCTCCCAGGAGGAGGCAGCAATGCTGTCACTCCCCAGAAGGATAAGGAGGTTTCTTAGCTAGTAACAAGAAAAGGAGGATTTGTGGCACCTTCATCGGATGAAGTGAGCCATAGCTCACGAAAGCTCATGCTCAAATAAATTTGTTAGTCTCTAAGGTGCCACAAGTCCTCCTTTTCTTTTTGCGAATAGACTAACATGGCTGCTACTCTGAAACTTAGCTAGTAACGTGTACTTCAGGCAAATTCAAGGCATAGATTCCCAAACCCCTGCCTTTGGATGCTGGAAGCCTTGGAGTGATTCTGGCTGGGGGCAAGAAATGAGATGGGTCAGCGCTGGTGCTGTTTATAGGACATCAGGTCTGATTTAGTCCTCCTGAGA